GCTGTAACCCATTGTATGATGAATTCGACCGGAATTCGCTTAAACATTTACGTCATCAATTCGCTCTCGCAAAAATATCTTTAGGGATAACATGAATCCATCTTTCCTCATCCAGCTAAGAGTAAAAAAAAAAAAAAAGACAGAGTGGGCTGTCTAGCCACAGTTAACCACTAGTCCAGGGAAAGGATACCTTCTCAATTCAATACATATACAGCCATAGAATGGATTATAGAGCACACAATAACTCTGTGGTTTCACCAGTAATTTTTGTGATATCACCTAGAAAGGCGAAACGCGTAACCAAATCTAGTTTCAATTAAATGGTTTCATATTTGTCAAAATTCATCAAAACTTTGTCGGGATTCTGAATCCTATTTTATACACATAATGAATAAAATAAAACTTGCATCATTTAAAAAAAAATATTTATTTTATATGTCCATGAAAAATGATTTTTTTTGTATTCCAAGGTGTGTCATACACCATATCATCATGATGGTCTTGTTAAACGTATTTCAGTTCAGTTTTTGCCATACCTTATATCGCATGAGTTAGTTGTTTAGCAATGACTTTTAACATGAGCGATTAATTGAAAAAATGTAAGCATAATAAATATAAAACTAAAATAAAAATGTTATGATTATCCCGGAAGTCTCGCGTGGCATGGAATGTGATTACTGGTTATTTTGTTTCCTGGAAACTCATATACCGGCGAACGATGGATCGCGTACAGGCATCGGTACGAGTAACACCGAATCAGAATATGATTGGTATATATGGGTGAAAATGTATGACAAAGTGGAAAAATACATCGGAGAAAGCTCAATGAATCTAATTACAAGATTATATGAACACAAAAGAGACATTTTACAAAATAATACATCAAATGCATTGGTTTCCCACTGTAACGAGACTACAATAAATATGACATAAAAAATGCTACTCTGATCAAATTTACTGAAGATGACGTTGAAATCAAGGCACTCTCTAGATATTTTCGTCGTAATAATCGTGAATAGTTTTCTCCTCTTTCAGAATTCCTGTCAGAATTTCTATTATCACAGTGTGGGATATCTACTGGCAAAAGTGATGGAAAGAAAAAAAAAAGAAGAAAAACATCCAAATGAAATCGATTAAATTAAAAAATAAAAATAGAATTTAAAATTCCCAGCATCCCTCATTCGTGCGTATGTATAGTCACAACCTACATAACAAATTTAGTCTGATGAAGTCCTAAAGAATGAAACGTTTCACAAGAAAACTCGTCTCCACTTTGGCATATGTAGAATGCATATGTATATAATACAACTTCAAAACACCTATCGAAATATGTAAAATTACGAGAGTTAAAATTATTTTAAATTTAATTTTCTCTCTCTCTCTCTCTCTCTCTCTCTCTATATATATATATATATATATATATATATATATATATATATATATATATATATGTACAAGTATATAATTGGTATATACGAAATGAATTCCAATAACCAACAATTACTATTCTTAAAAGAGTGCTCAATACAAAGTAGAGCAGATATAATTATTTTTTATAAAAAATTATAACATTTTATAACATACTTATGTTATAATTTTTTTATAAAAAATAATTATATATATATATATATCGGGTGCAATGAATGAATTGTCGTTTAAATTACGCAAAAATTAAAATAATACTGACACCTCATGTTAACAGATATATTTATCAAAATTACACAAAAAGTATCTTGGAATGCTAAAGAGCAAGTTTATTCAATAAAATCGCCATTGGCTTCAACTCCGGAATCTTCAGCAACACTTCTGGACGGTCTCCTTGTTTAAGTTGGTGAATGCTGCCATAATCCTTGCCTTCAGTTCATCTTTGGTGTTACAAGAATACCTGTCTCCACTTTGTCATAGATTTTCCCCAATATTGTCTTTTGTGTGTATATATATATATATATATATATATATATATATATATATATATATATATATATATGTATGTATGTATGTATGCATGGATAATAGGACAGGAAATCTTTTTTAGCGACCAGATTAAAAGGTTTTCCTTGTTCCAACCCGCTTTTCGATCCGTTAGTTGTGATGTCTCTTTGAGAATACTTCTCTTTTAATATTGCAAAGGGCAAACATATTGGAAAAAGAGACAGGGTAAAGTAGTGGAAAATAACTAAAATTGGTAAAAAGAAAAAAAATACCAAACGACATTATAAGCTTTTCGAATAATATTACTAATGAGTTTATGAAAAATTGGCCTACGCGTTTGAGCTTTTTTTTTAAATAAATATATGCAAAAAAAAAAATGATTGAAATGTTTCGACAGGAAAAGAACAAGTAAGATTTTCTGTTATTAACAATATGTAACTATAAGCAGACGACATTTTGAAAGAAAAAAAAAACAACAACAAAAAATAGATAGAGAAAGAAAAGCACAAGAAACGGCTATTTAAAATATGTAAGAAATAATAATAATAAAAAAAAATAAGAACTGGAAAAGTGAGACGCCATCGGTAAGAATAAAAAAAAAATGAATGCCGAAATAATGAAAGGACGAAGAACGACCCTATAAAAGAACATTCCGGAAATGGTGCTAAATATAACAACAACAATATACCGAAAGCAAGTTCTAAGCGCGAATAATCCGCTAAGCGGGGAAGAGAGAGCGAGAGATGGTTAAAAAAATAAATATATATATATATATATACGAATATTACAAAGATGAAAAAAAAAATGGCGGTATTAAAATCTTCTCATAGTCGTTGTCAGCAGCAGCACCAGAAGCAGAAGCAATTCCCTGTGTCACATATCTTTATAAACCTTCACTCCCCGGGCAAACCCTACCGTTCGATCTTATATTACTCAGCCCGCCATTACAACTCAATTCTCTTTGATTACTACTTCTCATACTATTCATATATCCTCCTACTAAATTCCTACCCTGGTTCTTATTTTGGGATCTTTCTTTCATAGCATATATATATATATATATATATATATATATATATATATATATATATATATATATATATATATATACTATAAAAAAATAAATATATACATATATATATATAATATAGAGAAATAAATATATGTAAAATATATTGATCTATATATATATATATATATATATATATATAATATATGAAAAGAAATAAGTATATTATATATATATATATATATATATATATATATATATATATCAGGCAATAAAAATAATGAAATTATATATGAATATTACACACATATATATATGTGTGTGTAATAATTCTTCTATTTTGTATATTTTCAAATTTTCTATTCTATATTATTTCTTATATTATTATTATTATTATTATTATTATTATATTATTATTATTATTATTATTATTTCAGTTAATCTATTGCTGCTCTTCCCGCCATTTTACTTTCTGTTGGACCGTTTGCCCGCCAAAAGAAAAACCTTTCATCGTCAGTTCTTATATTTTTTATCTGCTTGCAAAGTTCTTTTTTCTTCTTCTTCTTCTTCTTTTTCTTCTTCTTTTTCTTCTTCTTTCTTTCTTTTTTTCTTCTTTCTTTCTTTCTTTCTTTCATTAATGTTTTCCTTCACTTTCTTTCTACTCTTTAAAACCTTAATCTCTCTGTTTCTTTCCTCCTGTCATACTTATATTACTATATTATCCGTACTTTCAATTTCTTACTGTCTCTTAAAACTAGACTTTCTTTTATTTATATATTTATGTCTTCCTTTCTTAATATTCTCCGTTCCTTCTTTCTGATCATTAAAACCATATTCTTTCCTTCCTTCTTTCTTTATTGCGTTATTTCTTTCTGTATTGTGTCCTTTCATTTTTTTTCTATCCTTTCAAAAATACTTTTCTTTCTTCCTCGCTTTGTTTCTTTCTTTTTTTTTTGTTCTTTCAATTGTTTTTTTTTGTTTCTATCGATCCTCCATTCATTTCCCTTCTGTGCTTTAAAAGCATATTCTTTCTTTCTTTCTTTCTTTATTTCTTTCTTTCTTTCTTTCTTTCTTTCTTTATGTCATTTTCCTTTCTTTCTTTATGTCATTTTCCTTTCTTTCTTTTTCTTTCTTTCTTTCTTTCTTTCTTTCTTTCTTTCTTTATTTATTTATTATGCAATTTCCCTTTCTTTCTTTTTCTTTCTTTCTTTCTTTCTTTATTTATTTCTTTCTTTCTTTCTTTATTTATGTCTTTCTTTCTTTTATTCATCCATTCTATTTCCTGCTATCCATTAAAACCATATTCTTTCTTTCTTTCTTTCTTTCTTTCTTTCTTTATTATGTCATTTCCCTTTCTTTCTTTCTTTCTTTTTCTTTCTTTCTTTCTTTCTTTCTTTCTTTCTTTCTTTATTTCTTTCTTTCTTTCTTTCTTTCTTCTATCTGTTCCATCAATTCATTACTCTCCTTTTTTGTTTCTGCCGATCCTTCATGCAAATTCCTTCTGTATTGTAAAACTAAATTATTTCTTTCTTTCTTTCTTTCTTTCTTTCTTTCTTTCTTTCTTTCTTTCTTTCTTTCTTTCTTTGATGTGTTCCTACAATTTGTTTCCGCTCTTTAAAACCATAATATCTCCTTGTTTCTTTCCTCCTTTCTTGTATTTATGTTATCCGTTCATTCAATTTCCTACTGGCCTTTAAAACCATTCTTTTCTTTCTTTCTTTCTTTCTTTCTTTCTTTCTTTCTTTATTTATTTTTTATTTATTTATTATGCCATTTCCCTTTCTCTCTTTCTTTTTCTTTCTTTTTTTCTTTCTTTATTTCTGTCTTTCTTTCTTTTATTCATCCATTCTATTTCCTGCTATCCATTAAAACCACATTCCTTCTTTCTTTCTTTCTTTCTTTCTTTCTTTCTTTATTTATTTATTTATTTATTTATTTATTTATTTATTTTTTCTCAATTTCTTTCTTTCTTTAAAATATGCATCCATTAAATTTCCTTTTATCAATTAAAAACATAATTTTTCTTTCTTTATTTCCACCATTCGTTCTATTTCCTTCCATGCATAAAACCATACTCTCTCTTTCTTTCTTTCTTTCTTTCTTTCATTCTTTCTTTCTTTCTTTCTTTCTTTCGTGCATTTTTCTTCCTTTCTTTTAATCATCCATTCAATTTCCTATTATTAATTAAAACCATACTCTTTCTTTCTTTCTTTCTTTCTTTCTTTGTTTCTTTCTTTCTTTCATTCTTATATTCATTAATTCATTCTTGCTTTCTTTCATTTCTGATACTATTTCTCATTAGCCCTTTTTTTCCATAACACAACCACCCATATATTATAATTCGAACGTGCTCTTCCCTAATCGTAACTTTTCTTTTTTGCCTATGACAAATTTCTATTTTTTGATTTTTCTTTTTTTCTTTCTACTTTGCTTTTCCTTTTTATTTCACCATTTTATTATTTTTCGTCTTTCTTTTTGCTTCATCACATTATTCTTCCTTTCAGACTTTCTCCTTCCGTTTTTCATCTCTATTTTCCTTCTTTTATTTTTTCTCCCTTCCATCTGATCGACAATCACTTATTTTTTTCTTTCTTCTTTCCTTTTCGCACCTTTATTGTTTGCTTTATTTCTTTATTTATTTATTTTTCTTTCTCGGTTATTCTTTCTTTATTACTTTCTTTCATTCCTTAATAATTAACTTTGCTTCCTTGCTTCTTTCTTTCTTTTCTTTCTTTTTCTACCTTCCTTCTTTCTATCTTTCTTTCTTTATTTATTTCTTTCTTTCTCGTAGGCGTTCTTTCTTTCTTTTTACTTACCGTTCAATCTTGTCTTTTTCTATCTTTCTTACTTTCTTTTCTTTCTTTCTTTCTTTCTTTCTAGTTGGTATTCTTTCTTCTTTTCTTTCTTTCTTTTTAGTTGCCGTTTTTTGTTTCTTTTTAGATACCGTTCAATCTTGTCTTTTTCATTGTTTGTTTCTTTGTTACTTCCTAGTCGGTGTTCTTTCTTTCTTTCTTTCTTTCTTTCTATCTTTCTTTCTTTCTTTCTTTCTTTCTTTCTTTCTTTCTAGTCGGCGTTCTTTCTTTCTTTCCTTCTTTCTAGTCGGTGTTCTTTCTTTCTTTCTTTCTTTCTTTCTTTCTTTCTTCTTCTTTTCAGCGTTCTTTTTCTTTCTTTTTTTTGTTACCGTTCAATCTTTTTTCTTTTTATTTTTTTCTATCTTTCTTTCATTCTTTTTTTCTTTCTTTCTTGCTTTCTTTCTTTCTTTCTTTCTCAGTTATTCTTTCTTTCTTTTATTCCTTAATGATTAATTTACTTTCCTTCCCTGCTCCTTTTTTCCGTATATCTTTTTTTCTTTATTTTGCTTCCTTCTTTCTTTCTTTCTTTCTTTATTCTCTTCCTCAGTTATTCTTTCTTTATCTCTTTCTTTCTTTTCTGAATTATTAATTTACTTTGCTTCCTTACTCATTCTTTCTTTCCTTCTTTCTTTATTTTTTATTTATTTTGCCTCCTTCTTTCTTGCTTTCTTTCTTCGTTTCTTTTTTATCTTTCTTTCTTTATTTTGCTTCCTTACTTTATTTTTCTTTCTTATTTTTCTATCTTTTTTTATTTCCGTCTTTATTTTATTTATTTTCCTTCGTTAATAATTATTTCTTTCCTTCTTTCTTCTTTTACATTTTTTATTTTTTATTTATTTTGTTTCCTCACACTTTATTTATTTTGATTTTTTTTATTTATTTATTATGCTTCTTTACTTTTTCATTCCATCGTTTTCTTTCTTTTTCTTCTTTATTTATTTGTTCTACCTCCTTAGTTTTTTCTTTCGATTTTCTTTCTTTCTTTGTTTTACGTTCTTTCTTTCAATCTTTCTTTCTCGTTCGATTTACTTCCTTGTTTTTCTTTCTTTTTTTCTTTCTTTCTTTTTTTCTTTCTTTCTTTCCTTCTTTCTTTTTTTTTCTTTCTTTTTTCTTTCTTTCTTTTTTCTTTCTTTCTTTTTTTCTTTCTTTCTTTTTTCTCTCTTTCTTTCTTTCTTTCTTTCTTTTTTCTTTCTTTTTCGAACTCCTGTCTACCTTAATTTTTTATCCTCTTTTATTTTCTCTCAATATTTTTCTTCAATCATTTTTTTTTTTTTTCGCTTGCTCTTCTCTCCTTTTTGCGATTTGGTAATGTTTTCTCTCTTTCAATACGTCTTTCTTTAATTTCCTTTCCACCTACATTTTATTTTTTCCTTTTATATATATATATATATATATATATATATATATATATATATATATATATATCGACATCATTTGAAAATTATAAATTATTTTACCAAATCTTTTTTTTAATTTTTGATTTGTTATTTCATTTGTAATTAATTAGTAATAACTAATTAATTACTTCTTCTTTATTTATTTATTTATTTATTTTTATTTTGCTTCCTTCTTTCTCATTCGTCCTTTCTTTTTTGCGTTCTTTCTTTTTCTTTCGTTCATATTTCATTCTTCCTCCATTTTGTTTATTTATTTGTAGCTTATTATTTGTTTGTTTTTTTTTGTTGAATGATTCCTTCTATTTTTCATTCTTGTTTATTCATTCAATGATTTCGTGTTAATCATTTTTTTTTTCTTTCGCCGTAGGTTTATCATTGTTTCTTTCTTCTTTTATTCCTGTTTTCTTTCTTTCTTTCTTTCATTCCTTCTTTCTTTCATTCTTTCTTTCTTACTTTAATTATTTCTTTCGGATTTGTTCCTTCATTTATAGTATATCCCTCTTTCTGTATTTCTTTTTTTCTTTCTTTTATTCTTCTTTTTATCATTTGTAGTTTATCAATCTTTCTTTTTATTTATTCTTTCCATCTTTTTTAATTTATTCATTCTTTTTTCTCCCATTTTTTCTTACTCTTTTCTTCTTTTTTACCTTATCGGTCATTCTTGTTCTTTTTTATAACTTATCATTGTCTCTTTCTTTTGTTCTTTCTTTCTTTCGTTCTTTCTTTCTTTCGTTCTTTCTTTCTTTCGTCCTTTCTTTCTTTCGTTCTGTTTTGTTCCTTTATTCATAGTATATCGCTATTTCTTTCTTTCTTTTATTATTTCTTTCATTTTTTTCTTCTTTTTTCTATTGTTTGTAGTTTATTAATCATTCAATCTTTGATTCTATCTTTTTTAATAAACTCATTCTTTCTTTCTTGTTTGTTTCCATTTTCTTTCTTTGTAGCTTATCACTCATTCTTTTTTTTTCTTCCTAGATTATCATTGTTTCTTTCTTTTTTTTTCTTTCTTTTTTTCTTTGTTTCTTTCTTGCTTGCTTCGTTCCTTTATTTATGTTTTTTTTCTTTCTTTCATTCTCGATTTTCTTTCACTTGTTCCTTATCAAACCCTTTTTTCACCCTTTTGATTGATTCATTCATTTGTAGCTTATGACGCTTATAGATTTTTTCCTTCTTTATTTCTGTTTCTTTCCCGTCATTTGTCGTCTGCCAATCTTTCTTTCTTTGATTATTTCTATTTTTTTTTCCATTTTTCTACTTCTTTTCTTTCTCTGTTGCTTATCGCCCTTTCTTTCTTTTCTTATTTTTCGCTCTTGCTCTCTCTCTCTCTCACTGTCACTCCTTACGACTTCTTTTTACCTTTGTTCTTTCTTTTCTAGTTTATCATTTTCTTTCTTTTTTTCTTTCTTTCTTTCTTCCTTTTTTCTTTTTACCTTTCTTCTTTCCGTTTTTTCATTCTTTCCGGGCCAAATTCCCAAATTCTCTGTAATCCATTTATTCTTTCCTTATTCCCTCTCACAAAATTCCCCAACGAACTCTGCTCAATTATTTGTCGTCTGCTTGTCGTTACTTTTCTTTCTTTTCTTACTTAGCTTTTTCAACTTCCATCCATTTCCATCCCCCCTCCTCCATTCATTTCTGATTTTTTTTTCAGCATCCTTTTTATTCTTCCTTTCGATTCTCCTTCCGGCATTTCACTCCTGAGTTCTTTCTTTTTTTACTTACTTTTTCCGTCTCATATCTCTCCTAATTTGGTTTCGTCCATTTTTTCTTCTTTCCGCTTATCCATTCATTTTTCTTTCTGCTGCATAATTTTTTTATATCATTCTGCCATATTATTTTTTCCTCCATTTTTATTTTTCTTCGACTGTGGTCAGGCCCAAATCACTTGATCTCCACAGACTAGTTGATGGTGTGCAGAAGAAAACAATTAAAAAATATTAAGAAAAAAATGAACATCCAATTTTGGTTCCTGAAAAGAGAGAGAAATGTTCGTACCACATTACAACTGAGTTCCAAAAAAGGCAGTCTTGGGAAATGCACCTCCCTCGAAAACGAAACTAGAGATGCGATATATTTAGTTCGTGTTACAGAGCAGGACAGAATAATAAAAATATAAAATAAAATTAGAGACAAATATAAAAACAGAAAGATGAAAATACTTTGGAAAGATGGTGGTTTGATAGGAATTTTAGTGTCCTATACGAGATGGATATTTGTCTGTTACTATCGATTTTTATTGCCATATTCTGCTTGCCTGTCTTTTCATCCTTTGCTATTTCTTCTCATTATTATTGTTGTTGTTGTTATTACTATTATTATTACTACTACTACTACTACTACTACTACCCTTTTTTCTTCTCGTTATTATTATTATTATCAGTATTATTAATATTATTATTATTAATATTGCTGTTGTTGTTGTTGTTGTTGTTAATTTTGTCCTCCTTATCCGTCTTCTTATTGGCTACCAACGTCTTCTCCTTCTTCACCTCCTTTTTCTTCTCACTATTATTATAGTTTTTGTTGTTCATTGTCCTATTCTCGGATACTTTCATCTTCCTCTCATATACCTTTTCTTCTTCTTCTTCTTCTTCTTCTTATTATTATTATTATTATTATTATTATTATTATTATTGTTATTATTATTGTGCTTCTTGGCCGTCTTCTTCTTGGCTACCTTCGTCTTTTCTACATCTTTTTCTTCTCACGATTTTTATTATTATTATTATTATTATTATTGTCCTTCTTGGCCGTCTTCTTCTTGGCTACCTTCATCTTCTTCTACATTTCCTTTTTCTTCTTCTTCTTCTTCTTCTTTTTATTATTATTATTATGATTATTATTATTATCATTATTATTATTGTCCTTCTTGGCCGTCTTCTTCTTGGCTACCTTCATCTTCTTCTACATTTCCTTTTTCTTCTTCTTCTTCTTCTTCTTCTTCTTTTATTATTATTATTATTATTATTATTATTATTATTATTATTATTATTATTGTCCTTCTTGGCCGTCTTCTTCTTGGCTACCTTCGTCTTCTCCTTCTACATCTCCTTTTTCTTCTCACTATTATTATGATTATTATTATTATTATTATTATTATTATTGTCCTTCTTGGCCGTCTTCTTCTTGGCTACCTTCATCTTCTTCTACATTTCCTTTTTCTTCTTCTTCTTCTTCTTCTTTTTTTTTATTATTATTATTATTATTATTGTCCTTCTTGGCCGTCTTCTTCTTGGCTACCTTCGTCTTCTCCTTCTACATTTCCTTTTTCTTCTTCTTCTTCTTCTTTTTCTTCTTTATTATTATTATTATTATTAGTGTCCTTCTTGGCCGTCTTCTTCTTGGCTACCTACGTCTTCTTCTACATCTCCTTTTTCTTCTTCTTCTTCTTCTTCTTTTTCTTCTTCTTCTTCTTCTTCTTCTTCTTCTTCTTATTATTATTATTATTATTATAAAATCCTATGCGTTGTATTTTTGGCCCCTAGAGTAAAATTCTCAAGAGGTCGTGTAATGACCGATCTATTTTTTTAAAACCTACCCCATTAATATTAATTTTCTGGTTTTAATTTCCGATCATCCTTACCGCACGATAAAATCAAACCCGGAATGCCAATTTTTGCGCAGAAGACGAATTTGCGGTGCGATAAAAGATTATTGAAAGCATGCTAATAATTTAATTCAGCATTATGTTAAGCGCGATTATCACGAGTCGCAACTGAAGCAAATATGCCAATGAAAGATTGTTATAATTTTAAACATTTGCTTTCCCAATATCCGTAGCATTCGGACCATCTTCTGCACTGTGGAATCTTTTCTCTTTGAAAAGTCTCCTGATATACTACTTCTCTGCGAGACTAACCTTAATCCATCAGTTCCCTAGACTGATTTCTCGATTCAAGTCTAATGTCAATCGACATCTGACACCCTGATCTTGTTCCCCGTCCTTCTCTGTATCCTTTCCTCAAACACGCCTCTTTACTCTTGTTCTCAATCCTCTGTAGCCCCTTGCGTTCTTGTGGCACTCCCGCCTTGCTTGGGGTGAATTGCCTTAAAAAAAAAAAGATCACTACCCCGAAAAACACAATCAAACATTCTGACTGAATTCAATTAGTCATCCACTGACACCGAAATTTTGCTTGCGATGAAATTTTAAAGATGAAGGAGAGAAATGAAGCCACAGAAACATTGTTCTACTGAACCATGCTGAGAATACCATGGACGGAGAATTTAAAAAAATGAGGAAGTACTGGTTTCCATTACTGAAAGTAATTGTCAATATTCAGAGAAACACTGAGTCACTAGCCAATAAATTCGTCTTGAAGACGATTGCTGTCGATGTTTCAAATACCTTTGACAAGGTGTGGTATAGCTGGTACCAACAAAACATCTCCAGCTATGGAGTCACTGGACGGGCTTTCACAATTATCAAGTCCTTTCTAAAGAAGTGGGTCCATGAAGGCCGTTGTTAGTGGCCATTCATCTGAAGCCCATGCAAACAATTCCGACATGCCTGAAGGCTCTCATCTCCGTCCTAAAATCTTTCCGTTTCATTTTGTCAATCAATGATCCTCCTTATAAACCCTACTTCCAAATACAGGGTGTCCCAAAATAATGACTACTCTCTCTGAATCGTTATAACTTATTCAATTTATGTATTTTGACTTGTAAATAAGATTAATACAAGAGAAAGAATACACATTTAAAAATTTGAGAGTAAAATGAAAAAAGCATAAAAAGTTAATAATGTGTGACGTCATTTGTTTACATTTAGATATGACATGAGCAGATATGAGAGAATCATGGAAGATTGTAGTTTAAAAGCAGTAAAATCGAGCTTGCTATCTGAAAGCTCCTCTGTGGCCCAATTGGTTAAAGGCACGTCAGGCTATATGACGGTTCCGTATAGAATACAGGTTCGATTCCTGTCGGGGGACGAATATTTTCTATGAAAATTTCTCGGACAATCAGGCCTGTAAATGTTGTTTAATACTGTTTATTATAAACAGAGCATTTACTTAAATAATTGTATCTATAAAAAGAATGTATAAACATAAAAATGTCTTAAAATAATCGTCGGACTTTATCCATTTCCTAATGTGTGATGTGTTTTGTTTACATTTAAATACGCCATGAGCAGATATGAACGTACGTGAGAGATTCATGGAAGATTGAAGTTTAAAAGCAGTAAAATCGACTTTGCCTACCGAACGATCCTCTGTGGCTCAATAGAAAATTAACTTTAATAAGATAAAAGCTAGTGGGGGCAATGGCAGAATGTTCATATAATGATGAGTTCACATCAAGTGCTCAAACTGGTTGCCGTTCTGTTCAATACAATTTTCATATCTTGAAGAAATAGACCTACAAACGTCCAGTATCATTTCCTCTGGTATTTGAGCACATTCTTCTTTAATTGCTACTCTCATTTCAGCAACTATTTCAGGGTTCCTGCTGTAAACTTTGTCTTTTAGAAAACCCCACAAAAAGAAATCCAAGGATGTCAAATCTGGTGATCTAGGTGGGTATTCAACTGTCCCTCTTCTTCTAATCCATCTGTTTTGCATATTTTCTTCCATACAAAAAAGTATTATTAACTATTAATATTTAAAGAGTGTATACATTTTTGGGGGGACACCCTGTATTTAGATTACCATAACCTGACAGATTATCTCTCCTCTAATGCTCAAAAAGTAACGTTTCACAATCTCAAAAATTGGAAACAAAAATAAATAGCTATATTTAGAATCAGACAGTGGAACCGCTTAGGACATATTATGAGGAAATAAGGTTTGGCAAATGTTACACTCTCGGGACATTCTAAGAGAGGCAGAAAAAAAAAGAGTAACCTTCCTAGCGCGCTTGTGTAAATGGATGACAAAACCATGGCTGGAAAGGAATGTAAAGGGATAAACATTGCTAAAGACTACAAAGGATAGGAAGATGTGGAGAGTCATGATCGCCCAAAGTATATAGAAAAGGAAGAAGAAAAATAAAGATCCAATTCCAGCACTTGTATTACAATATATTGGCCTTATTGCAATTCAGGATTTAATTCAATTATAGAGACCCTCTTGTCTAATTAAATGTTACAGAAATTTCAACTACCGTAATTCCCCATGTATAATACGCCTTCATCCATAATACGCACCCATAAAATTGTGCTGAAAGTGTAAGAAAATGCTTTCACTCACATATAATACGCATCTATAGTTATTATACCAGTAAATTGTACCTCTCCAATTTCATTACGGCCAGCGTTTCCTACTCTTATTAAAAAATGGTTTTAAACATAGAATAATATTATTCTAATTTAGTTTTATTTTAATTCTTATTTTATTTTTCATTTGTAAGTATTGTTAGGAATATATGATTGTATTTGACATCCTTATGAGGTCGCAATCGGCGAATGTTAGTGTCAAATTGTCGTATGTTTGGGGTGAGTAGTCATTTCGAAACTGAAATTAACTTATGAAACGGCAATTTTTAAAAGATTTTCTGGAGCTGTGCATAATACGCACCCCTAATTTTGCTTATTATTTTTTCAGAAAAAAATGCGTATTATACATGGGAAATTACGGTATCTTTTTCTCGTCCTACGCAAATATCTGCTACGTTTATCAGGGACTGAAAAATGTGGAAATTACTTAATCGTCGTCAGTGTCTTATAAAGGCTTTCGAAATTTGTCAAAGCTGCAAAGAAAAGGGTGGGAAACTCTTGCTCGTTTATGGCCACAGTGATCTGTTTTCGGCCTGATCTAGCTCTTACAATGGGAGGAGATAGCAGACTATGGTGGGCCTTAGCGGTACGTGGGAATAAGCTACTCGAATGGAACTTCTTCTCACCAAAAGAAAATAAAGGAAATGCGATAAATTCGCTACAATGTGCGGG